TCTTCCGATTGAATGTCAAATAGAAATTTAGGTGTTTTGCAGGTCTTGAATAAGAAAGATGTTATTATAGGTCAGCTTATGTGAGATTATCATTCGTTGTCTTGTTGGTATCCTCTATTTATAAGGTCAACATGAATAAAGGATCCTAGATTTTAGAGTTGAGAACCCTAGCGATCAGCTATACTCATTTAATAATTATGAAAAATGAGGCTCAGGGAAGGCGTGTGGCTTGTCTGGGGCAGTGGTACGTGAAGATTAGAAAGCTCAGGTCTCCTGTTTTTGGGAGAACTTTCCGTTATGTTTGACATTGCCTTGTAAGTAACAGAATATTATGTGATTAGCAGAAGTCAGCACCCAGCACCACAGCCAGCCCTCTCAGCGGATGGCTTCTTGGAAGCAAACCTGCCGGCAGTCGTCAGGCTCCTTACACGCTGAGCACCAGCCCCCAGGACTGGCTCATCCAGCAGCAGACCTTGGAGAATAGTAGTCAGGTATGTCGCTGCCTTTGAATAGCTTTTTGGCTCTTCACTGTAGATAATTCAGAAACTAAAGAACTTTATGTAAAAAAAAAACACAGACCCGTAGTCCAACATGAAGAGACAAACATTGGAACATTATTTTTCTTAAGAATTATTTTATTGAACTTTATTTAATTTACTTCTTTTAATTTGACAAGAGAGAAACAGAATGAGAGAGAGAAAGTGAGAAAGCAATTCACCAGATCTGAGACTCGAATCACAGTTGGCCATGTGGGAGTCCAGTACCCTTAACGACCACACCACCTGTTGGCCCCACAGCATTTCTCTTTATACATTTTATTTTACATATGTACTTTTTTTTGGTTTTAGGAGAGAATTTTTTGCTATCGGGCACATGTACTCACTGGAGAGACAGAGACCAAAAGCGAGAAATCACCCCTCAGTGAGGATGGCCATGCCATAGTCCCTTCTCCTCCATTCTCCTCTCAGAATTTTGGGTACACATGCACATGCGCCCAGCGTGAGTTTTAAGCCAGAGTCCAGAGTCCAGGCTTGAACCGCGGTCAGCTGCGTGGGAGTCCAGTGACATTACTATTATGCCACCTGCTGGTACCGAATACATGTTTTTAAAAAGTCTTTCTTTCTCTAAGTTCTGTTTTGGATAGTAGGTATTTTTCGCTGATATATATTTCACCCTAAACATATTTCTCTCATCAGGGTATCTACTACCTGAGACCTCTCTAACCGTGGTAATCACTTTTAAATTTTCTTCTCTGAATTTGACACAAAATACCAATTTTAATTTTGTGTGTCTTTGAGTATAAGGAGTTTGAATACCTTCACGTTCATTGGGCTTCTTTGATGATTCACTTGATCATATTTTTGGCCTACTTTGGTTTTCTTTATGCAGAAAAGTCATACTGTATAGAGATACTACTAGCTTTTCTACGAATAGGCTTACAGATACTTCTAGTTTAATGTTCCGTAGTCTTTTTGAAACTACTGAAAATAGGGACTGGCAGGTGGTGCAGTGGTTAAGGATGCTGGACTCCGATTGCAGTTTGAATCCTGGGTCTGGCGGCTTGGTTTCTACTTTACCTCTCTCTCTTTTTGCCCTGACCTTCTCTGGTCAGAATAAAAATAAATAAAATAAAATAAAATGATTCTTTAAAAAAAAAAAAAACTACCGAAAATAAACTTTAAAAAAGAAATTGCTGGAGGGCATGTGCACTGACCAGAGAGAAAGCAACCCCCAGTGGAGTGTGGTCATGCTGCAATCACTTCATTTCTCCATCCTCTTGAGACTTGGGGCATGCATACATACACACCCCTAGCATGTTTTTCAAGCTACTGGTGCTAAGATTCTAACCACGGTCATGTGAGATTGGGCTCTTTCAACCTAGACCACTGGGCCTAACATTTTAAAAATGAAGTTATTATGTATGTTATTATCTAAACAAATATCTTGCCCATTGGATTCGTACACTTAAAATTTAGGAACATTAGGCAAGACAGTAGATAGGCCGTCAGAACCCCCAAAATGGTCATAATTGTTATGACAAACTAATATTGTGTGGTTTTCATGTAGACTTCTGCTGGAGCCTGCAGTGTCTTCACTACCATCTGGGGCAACCAAAAGGGCTTAGAAAACTGGCTCCTCAAGAGTCAGCAACAAGATGCTCCTGAAAAACCAAGTTACCAGAAGAGCCATTCTTCTACCAATTCCTTCTCCATTGATGTAGAAAAGGTCGGTGATCTAGAGCTTCTTAGTCAAGATGAAATGGATCTTTCTGATTGGCTGGTAACTCCCCAGGAGCCCAGCAAGGTAGAAAAACCTGAGAATGGCAGCTGCGAAACCAGTGATAAGTTTAAGCTCTTGTTCCAGGCATTCCAGGAGTCCTACAGTGTGAACGATTGGCTTGTCAAGCCCGACTCCTGTACCAACTGTCAGGGTAACCAACCCAGAGGTGTGGAGATTGAGAATCTGGGCAATCTGAAGTGCCTGAATGACCATTCGGAGGTCAAGAAACCATTGTCTAGCCCTAGCCTGGTTACTGAGGATTGGCTTGTCCAGAACCATCAGAACCAATACAAGGTAGAGGAGGTATGCAAAGCCAATGAGCCCTGCACAAGCTTTGCAGAGTGTGTGTGTGAAGAGAATTGCAAGAAGGAAGCTCTGTCTAAATGGCTTCTGAAGAAAGAAGGGAAAGATAAAAATGGGATGCCTATGGAACCCAAGCCTGAGCTTGAAAAGCATAAAGAGTCCTTGAATATATGGCTCTGCCCTTCCAGAAAAGATGCATCAGAACAAGCAGAGACACCAAACACAATGATTCCTTCTAGCACTGTTGATCCCTTTCATGTCATACGAAACAGCCCTTTGTCACAGTGGCTCAACAGGCCCTCCTGTAAAGAAGAAGGTCCTAAGGAAGTGCCTAGTACTGAGGATACAGCTGGCACACAGAAGCTTAAAAGCCCTGTGACCACTTCCTGGTGTCCCTTTAACACAGCTGACTGGGTCTTACCAGGAAAGAAGATGGGAAGTCTCAGCCAGTTGCCCTCTGGGGAAGACAAGTGGCTACTCAGAAAGAAGGCCCAGGTGAGCAGAGACATCAGATTGTACGATTTTACTTTCTTAATCCCGAACCTTGCAAATGAGCCAGGTCCTTAAATATATTAAACATAAATTTGGCTGGGTATTAATTTGGTGCCTTGTTAGCAACAGGATGATTTATGATCAATCATACTGAATTTTTTTATGCATTTGCATACTATAGGAAGGGAAAAAAAACCCAGCCTGTTTTACTGCTGTGCATGGGAAAGACATGGGGTAGAAATTAAGGTCACTTTCTCTTGGTTATTAAAACGGCCATTGTTGAAATGAGTCTGTATAGACACTAGTTTGGAAGATCAGTTGGTCTCTTGCCTACCTGCCATAACCTTTCGTGTTCTTCCAGGAAGTATTACTGAACTCACCAATGCAAGAGGAGCGTAACTGCAACTTCCCCCCGGACCGTTATGGCCTCCCCGCAGTTTGTGATCTCTTTGCCTGTATGCAGCTTAAAGTTGATAAAGAGAAGTGGTTGTATCGAACTCCTCTGCAGGTGGGTGCTTGCCAGGGGTCATTTGAACATATAAAAATTTCATGTATTTTATTGAACTTGCTTCATGAAATAAATAGGCAGTATTGAAAGTGGCCTTTCAAGATTTGGAATGTTTTGTCCAGCTTGGGTTCTTATAGCTTATTGAGAAATGAATCAGCTCTTAAGGTGGGGAGTGCTTGCTTCTGCAGTGAATTGACTTCTCTGTGTTTTTTGCCCCCAGATGTGAACAGACTGCTGGAGCAGCTTTTCTGCAGATGATCACACATCCACGAACTGAGTGACTGTGGCTTGCCAAACTATTGTCTCTGATCTTACCAGTCAGCTTAGTTTCTTTCCTTCCTAATTCTGAACTAGTGAAGAGTTAAGTCATCAAATTATGTTACTGCGTGAAGAGGAAAGGCCGTCTGATGCTGAGGTGCAATTCCTTCTACCGAAGTGTTAACTTCACCCCATGCTAGAAATGCAGCATCTTGGTGGACTGGTCCTTTTCACAAGCGCCCACAGCTCCATAGATTGGGTTCTTACTAGAGGTACATTAAAACACTGTAGTAGTTTTAAAAATGAAGTTTCCCTGTAATCCAAGTGCTGATGTATTTTAAAGCTAGTAAATTTCTCTAATCTTTTGATTGCCCTTCAGATGCTGTGGGTTTTCTTCTATTGGTGATTTGAAATAATGATTATTCTGTTCACTATATATATATATATAGAGAGAGTATATTTCACACAATATTACCAATAGTGATTTTCTTCTCTTACCAAGATTTGTTTTTAACCTTGGCACTTTTTTAACAATTCCCATTTTAACCTATCTCATTAAATTCCTTCATTTCAGAGAAATTCAACTACTGAAAATTTTGTCTTTTTCCTTCCTCTAAATGTTATGTCCAGTGACCTCTTTCCAAAGAGCTTGATTGTTTCAAGACCATTTTCAGGGTAGTTCTAGCCTCTGTCAAAATATACTGCAGACCTACAGGCCAACTAAGCTGAAAAGGCAAAATAGTTCAGAAATGTGATACTTGAACCATTCACTAACCTGGGGAAATTGGTGCATCCTGTGTAAATGGAAGCTGAGCTTGACAACCTGGTGCTTTAACTAGGGAGAAGTCCGTGGCCACCTCACTGCAAGCACAGCATACCCATACCTCCAGACGCCAGCGCAGTGATACTTTAGTGAACAGGCTGTTTGCAACACTTGTGCCTTGGGGCATTTATTGAAGCTTTATGAAAACAATCGATGTTTTCTTTAAGTCATGTCCATGTTTTATTAAGTTTCTCTGTAGTAGGTAAGTGGGATTTATAAGGTTTTTAAATTCTCTAAGATATCTTAGCTGCTTTCCAGGCTCTGAGTAAAGCTTTTCAACTGCCTATGTTACCGGAAGTACATTCTGGGAAACTTCAGTCCCTTTGTCATTGCCAGCTTCTTTAGAATTCTTTGAACCAAGCTAAAGAGAGCCTCATGTTATTTAATCTTCCTCAGATACCATTTAGAGCAAGACAGTAAAAGTGGTAAAACAACTTGAGCCATTCCTGTATCTAGGCTGCAGGAAACTATGTAGTTTTGGGGGTCTGACACACTATCAAAATGTAATTTACATGAATTCCTG